TGGCTTTGGACACTTCCAGGGATCCAGGGACAGCCACAACTCTGGGAATAATACCCTGGAGCCTGTCCCAGGGCATGGATAAACCCACCCAGGTCTCCTGCTGGCCCTACCTTGGCGTGAGCTTTTGTCTCTGCAAATTTGATCTTGAAGTCGAACATCTCGGGGGGCGGCTGCTGCTGCTTCTCTGCAGACGCTTCCTGCTGGCTCATCAGCTCCCGGTTCACATCCTGCCCACGGGGACATCATGGGGACATCATGGGGACATGGAGATAAGGTAGAGACACCTTGGGGACATGGCGATAACATAGAGATATCATGGGGACGTGGAGATCAGGGACCCCACACCCCCAGCAAGCCCCTCCCCAAACCTCCCAGCACCTCCTCCTTAGGGAGCTCCTTGTGCAGCACCCCGTGAAGGTGGAGGGGAGGGAGAGGCACCAAGAGTGTTCCAGGCCGGGAATATCCACAGGCTCCTTGCCCAGCTCCCTTCAGGGCTGGGATAATCCCCACAGGGAAGGATTTTTTCCCAATAACCCATCTAAATCTCCACTTTTCCAGTGGGAAGCCATTCCCTGTGTCCTGTCCCTCCATCCCTTTTCCCAAGTCTCCCTCCAGCTCTCCTGGAATATCCACAGGCTCATTCCCCAGCTCCCTTCCCTGCCCAGAAGACCTGAGCCCAAGTCCCCTCCAGCTCTCCTGGAGTCCCTTTAAGGCACTAAAAGAGGATTTGAGGTCTCCTTGAAGCCTTCAAGGACATTCCCAACTCTCCCAGCCTATCCATGTAGGAGAAGGCATTGGGGGTGTCCCTATGGAAGCTCCACAAGGAACCCACTCAGCTCCAAGCTGTATCCTGCCACTCCCAAGGGATGCTCCCTGTGGCTCTCCTGGCCACCAGGACACTCCCAGGGAATGCTCCCTCTCACTCTCCTGGCCACCAGGACACTCCCAAGGGATACTCCCTGTGGCTCTCCTGCCCACCAGGTGAGCTCCTGAAACTCAGGTAGCCAGAGTTTCCCTGGGAAATCCCTTCCACGGCCTCACCATCCTCACAGAGAAGAATTCCTTCCCAGTAACCCATCTAAATCTCCACTTTCCCAGTGGGAAGCCATTCCCTGTGTCCTGTCCCTCCATCCCTTGGTCCCAAGTCCCCCTCCAGCTCTCCTGGAATATCCACAGCGTCATTCCCCAGCTCCCTTCCCTGCCCAGAAGACCTGAGCCCAAGTCCTCCTCCAGCTCTCCTGGAGTCCCTTTAAGGCACCAGAAGGGATTGTTAGGTCTCTTTGAAGTCTTCAAGGACATTCCCAGCTCTCCCAGCCTATCCCTGGAGGAGAAGGGAATGGGGGGGTCCCTATGGAATCTCCACAAGGAACCCACTCAGCTCCAAGCTGTATCCTGCCATACCCAGGACACTCCCAGGGGATGCTCCCTCTCACTCTCCTGGCCACCAGGACATTCCCAAGGGATGCTCCCTCTCACTCTCCTGCCCACCAGGACACTCCCAAGGGATGCTCCCTCTGGCTCTCCTGCCCACCAGGACATTCCCAAGGGATGCTCCCTGAGGCTCTCGTGGCCACCAGGCGAGCTGCAGGAGGGGCTGGAGGTGGGGACCCACCTGCAGGTGAGCCGTGAGCTCCCGGTACTTTTTGATGGTCTGCTGGTAGTCGGCCANCTCAGCTCGAACCTCTCCTGCGCCTGTTTGCTGATCAGCTCGGCCTGCGGAGGACACGGAAATCCTTCAGGGCATCCCGTGCTTCCCTCCCTGCTGTGTCCTGCTGGGGAACAGCCCTGCAGCCCCACAATGTGACCTGTCCTTGCAAAGTGACCCTGAGTGCTCTCACCACCCCTGGCTGCTTCCTCCCCTTCCCTTCCCTTCTCCCAGACCATTTTATAAGCGTGGAATCGTGGAATTACTTAGGTTGGAAAAGTCCCTTAAGACCACGGAGTCCAACTGTTCTCCCAGCACCACCACTGACCATGTCCCCGAGTGCCACATCCACAGGGCTGTAAATCCCTCCAGGAATTCGGACTCCATCCCTGTCCTGAGCCACATCCACAGGGCTGTTAAATCCCTCCAGGAATGGGGATTCCGTCCCTGTCCTGGGGACTCCACACTGTCCCCAAGTGCCACATCCACAGGGCTGTTAAATCCCTCCAGGAATTCGGACTCCATCCCTGTCCTGAGCCACATCCACAGGGCTGTTAAATCCCTCCAGGAATGGGGATTCCATCCCTGTCCTGGGGACTCCACACTGTCCTGAGCCACATCCACAGAGCTGGGGACTTCACACTGTCCCCAAGTGTCACATCCACAGAGCTGATAAATCCCCCAGGGATGAGGAATCCACACTGTCCCCAAGTGCCACATCCACAGAGCTGATAAGTCCCCCAGGGATGAGGAATCCACACTGTCCCCAAGTGTTACATTCACAGAGCTGTTGAATCCCCCAGGGATGGGGGCTCCACGCTCTCCTGGGGACTCCACACTGTCCCCAAGTGTCACATCCACAGAGCTGTTAAATCCCCCAGGGATGGAGGCTCCACACTGTCCTGAGCCAGACCTGGACACCTCTTTCCAGAAGGAATTTTCCCATTATCCCACCAGAACCCCTGCAGGGATGGCACCTCCAGTCACTCCAGAACTTTGGGAAGTTCTCCAACACTAACACCCCAAATCCCCAACTGCCCTGGGGACAAAGTTGTGGTTTGCCATGCAGGGGCTGTCCCACCTTGCAGATGAGGCGTGGGATGAGCAGGAGCACCAGGACGCAGTCGTGGTCGCCGCCGTGCCGCAGGAAGCTGTCGGGCATGAAGGAGGTCAGGAGGGACACGTGCCGGTTGGCCTGCTGCACCTCCATCTGCCGCAGCTCCATCTCGATGGCCTGAGGGACACTGAGAGTCACCCGCCTGCTCCAGGGACAGCCCAGCCCAGGAGGATCAATCATGGAATGCTGCTCCTTGGAGAACGCCTCAAGGCATGGCTGGCATCTCCCAGCCCACCCAGAGTCACCCCATGCCACCTTCCTCCATCTCAGGGTGCTCCAGCCTGGCCTTGGGCACTTCCAGGGGTGGGGTAGCCAGGGTTTCTCTGGGAAATCCCTTCCAGGCCTCACCACCAGCACAGGGAAGAATTTTTCCCCAATATCCCATGTAAATCTCCACTTTTCCAGTGGAAGCCATTCCCTGTGTCCTGTCCCTCCAGACCTTGTCCCCAGTCCCTCTCCAGCTCTCCTGGAGCCCCTTTAGCCCCTGCAAGGAGCTCTGAGCTCTCCCCAGAGCCTTCCCTTCTCCAGGGGAACATTCCCAGCTCTCCCAGCCCCACTCCAGAGCAGCAGGGCTCCAAAATCCTGAAGGTTTGGGTTGAAGGACCTTAAAGCCCATCTCATTCCAGCCCCTGGAACACCTCCCACTAGCCCTGTCCAACCTGGCTTTGGACACTTCCAGGGATCCAGGGACAGCCACAACTCTGGGAATAATACCCTGGAGCCTGTCCCAGGGCATGGATAAACCCACCCAGGTCTCCTGCTGGCCCTACCTTGGCGTGAGCTTTTGTCTCTGCAAATTTGATCTTGAAGTCGAACATCTCGGGGGGCGGCTGCTGCTGCTTCTCTGCAGACGCTTCCTGCTGGCTCATCAGCTCCCGGTTCACATCCTGCCCACGGGGACATCATGGGGACATCATGGGGACATGGAGATAAGGTAGAGACACCTTGGGGACATGGCGATAACATAGAGATATCATGGGGACGTGGAGATCAGGGACCCCACACCCCCAGCAAGCCCCTCCCCAAACCTCCCAGCACCTCCTCCTTAGGGAGCTCCTTGTGCAGCACCCCGTGAAGGTGGAGGGGAGGGAGAGGCACCAAGAGTGTTCCAGTCCGGGAATATCCACAGGCTCCTTGCCCAGCTCCCTTCAGGGCTGGGATAATCCCCACAGGGAAGGATTTTTTCCCAATA